CATTCTAAAATTTTAGCACTGGCCATATTTGTGTTGATTTTAAAGAGGTTCTAAAATGGGTATCGGTTTCCTTCCTTTGGAGAGGTTCTGACAATCCTGGTTTTAATGATGTTTGGTTCTAATGACGCTGGCACTCTGAACTCGAAGCTCTCGCTCTGGAGCAGTGGCGGAAATTCGTAAAAAGTACTACTGGGCCAAAATTTGCATTTGGGAGAGAAACGGCCACCAGCATGCCTCCCGTGTTCCTTTTAGTACTGGGGTTGTCGTGTTATTGGGGACCGGATCAACGTCTGAACTAAAGTCACCACAAACGATTCGATGTCTCACCCAGCCTCGAAGTCATGCACCGTGCCGGCTCTAGTTGCAAACATCGCAACGTCCAAACCGAAAATAGCACCTTAGATATCCTAGACGAACGAGCCTTCATTTCGCCCCAGATCAAGGATTTCTTGCATTTTTGGTCGTAAATTTCCTTATTTTCTGTCCTCGTCTCGCAGTTTCGGTGGCATATGGTTTCACCATGGCATATGGTCGACTTGTACGGTAACAGCACTTACATGACGTCAGCAGAATAAAGCATTCGTTTTGTTGGTTACGTCTTGCAAAAATTATGGGCATGATGGTAACACCCACGTAACCTTGAAATGCAGTGATTATGGAGACGTCTGTACCAAGCTATCCGAAAACACTGCACCCGTCCATAACCCACGCTGTGTACCGGACAACGAACACACTGCATCCCGTGCGTAACCCGTTATGTGTGCCAGACAGCGAACACACTTCACCCGCCCGTAACCCGTTCTATGTGCTGGACAACGAATACACTGCACCCATCCACAACCCATTCTATGTAGCAGACAACGAACACACTGCACCCGTCCGTAACCCGGTCTGTTTGCCGGACAACGAATGCATTGCACCCGTCCGTAACCCACGCTATGTACCGGACAACGAACACACTGCATCCCGTCCGTAACCCGCTCTGTGTGCCGGACAACGAACACACTGCACCCCTCCGTAACCCGCTCTGTGTGCCGGCCAGCGCGGGCGGCGTCGGACGTGACGGCAGCGGGCGCCGGCGCGTGGGGCCGACTGCAGGCGGCGGCGCTCCGCTCGGCCGTCGGCCCTCTCAGAGCGCGGCTGGCCTTCGGTCGCGGTCTGCTGCATCAGATGAGCGGCTGTCTGCACGGTGAGCGCCGCTCATGCACGCTGGATGTTTGGCAGGCCCTTGCCACATCGGTGGGGATACACGCTCAAAACGCAGATGAACATGCGTGACCGGTAGGCTGCTATTAGCTTGCATGTTCAGACCCGCTCGGGTTCCAAACAATGCGTGCCCGGTATCTGCGCGTAGCCTGCCGGTATTCCTACCTGCCAAACCGTGCAGCTCGAGCAGGTAGGAGATTGGCAATTCGAGACCCTCGTACTGAAGATTCAGTTTTGCAAGATCCCAATAGATTAAGATTGAGGTGACGAATCTATTGCATGGGTTTCAGAGCGCAGGTAATTTTAATTGTACCGTTATGTCATGATGTTTGCTTTGTTTTCACAGATGTAAGCGCAATGAGTGAATGCTGTGAGAGTCGCACGTATCGTTACTTCTTTCTTTAATTTCCTGACTGATCTGTTTACTCGAACAGAAATATCTGAACCCTGAAAGTCAGGATTGCAAGTACCTGCATTGATGAGTCTCTTCAGCCTTGGGGTGGTGGTGTCGTCCTCAAGAACAAGCCAGCCCGATCATTTTAAATAATTTTGCGGACATGAATAAACAAGGAAAATATCAGGTATCCCTAGGATGGCTAGTGGGTGCCTAAAAATGAGTTGCAGAGGAGTTGCAGTTGCGGATCATATAATAATTGTACTTCGACGTTGTTGCATGTTCGGAAAAGTATCAACCAAACACCTCAGTTCTTCCGACGAGAGATTATTTGTTCGTGTTGTTTTCGAATGAGAACATGAATTCGACCGTAATTAATTTTCGACACAACATGGAAATAAGCCAAAGCGCAGTTGGCGTCATTACAAGGGCGTAGACGTCGTCCACCGTGCTATGTAGTTACACTAAACCTCCTCCAAAACTGAAGCTTCAATAGCTATTGATAAACTGCCACCAATGGTTTCCTCAGTGATTCTTTTTTGGTCGAGTTCAAAATGAGCCGCTGAAAAGCCCACCACAAATCAACAACAGAAGTTGAAAGATAAGATATGTCGGATGTTAACGTCCGACGATTTTCATACAAAGGTCCAAATATTTTGGACACTCGATTTTTTTAGTCTCTTGTACACCATCTATTTATCCACACCTCAAACCGGCATTGTAATCGAAATCCACTCACCGCAGGATGTAAATACTAAATTACAGCGAATCCTCACTTCCATTGGGCAAACAACTGGTAGCATCCAACGGCTCGATGTCAAGTGGGCTGTTGTGATGTCCTTGGCTATGTTTTTCCATGGATACACGTGTAAACACATGCTTCAGGAGCTGGGCATTTATTTAACGTCGTCCCAAATGCAGTACATCATGCACCAAACCGACACTGCAAGAATGGCGACTTTACTTGCGACGCAAGCCAATGCGCCCGAAAGTCGCGCTGAAACAAACGCTGTGCGCAAACACCAAGCTGACGGTTCTTCTAAGAGCAGTAGGTGCCGTCAGCGGTGTTGGTCTGGATCCAGGACAGCACCTCGGTGACTCGGGCGTAGACGCCCGGGTAGCCGGGTAGAGCACAGCCCCGACCCCACGAGACGACGCCGATGAGGGAGTAGCGGTCGGACTCGAGGCTGACCAGCGGGCCGCCGCTGTCGCCCTGGCACGAGTCCTTGCCGCCCTCACTGAGACCGGCACAGATCATGGACGGGTTGATGCTGCTGTATGACGAGCTGCAGGCGGTGTTGGAGATGACGGGCACGGTGACCTCCCTCAGAGTGGTGGCCTGTGAGCCACCCGAGCTGGTGGTACCCCAGCCGGTGACGATTGCGTCGGCACCGACAAAGTCGTTACCGGCGGTGGGTAGGCACACTGGCGCCAGCGAGTTGTCACTTGGGAAAGTGATGGGGTTGGTCAACTTCAGCAGCGAGAAGTCGTAACCGGAGCCGGATACGGACGTGTAGCTCGGGTGGTTGATGATCTGCTGCACACTGGCGCGAATCTCACCGTCGCTGTTGCTGATGCGATGCTCCTTGAGAAGCACCTCGATCTGGCTGGGTGACGATCCGACCGTACAGTGGGCCGCCGACATCACGTAGCGGTTGTTGAGGACACTGCCGCCGCACCAGGTGCGGGTGCCGCCGGCGCTGACCAGGCCAGCCTGCCAAGGATACTCACGCACCTCGGTCTCCACGCCGCCGACGATGCGGGAGGAGCGGTTCGGAACGCCGCAAGAGCAGGAACCTGAAGGAGCAGCCGTAGTGGTAGCCTGTGATTCCGTCGCCTCCAGTTGGCAGAGGAAGCCGCTCCTCACCACCGAGTAGTCCGAGTGCCAGTCGACGGCCATCGTAGACACCGAGGTTACGGCGCTGGGGCCTGATGTACCACAGAACTTCTGACCGTTCACGGACAGCCAGTCCCAGGAGCAAGACGAGTGCCGTTCCACGTTAAACGCGGAGCAAGACATGGAGATGGTGTCACCTGCGTTCTCCGCTGTCAGCTGGTAGTTACAGTCCTCGTTGATAGGGTAATTGTTCGGATGGTTGGTGGACTTGATGGTGTAAGTGATGTCGCGTACCAAGGAGCTGCCACCACACGTAAGCTCTGAGCCACCGCCGCCGCCGCCACCGCCGCCGCCGCCGCCGCCGGCGACCGTCAGCGTGCACTGGAAGCCCGGTCTTACTACGCTGTAGTCGCTGTGGAAGGAGATGTCGAAGGCCTGGGCTGTGGATGCCGTAGGTCCCGAGGTACCGCAAAACTTCTCGCCGTTCACCTCCAGCCAGTCCCACGCGCACGAGCTGTGCTGCTCCAAATTAAAGCTGCTGCAGGCCAAGGTGATATCGCTGTCACTGGACAAAACATAGTCGCAATCGACGTAATTTGGGTAGTTTGATGGATGATTGGGAGACTCGATTGTGTACTCGCCTTCTGTCAGCACGTGAGTTCCACAGTCAAGGTTTGTTGCGCGTGGCTGGATGGAAGGAAGCGAGTCGTCGCGGTCGGAGGGAGGCGGTTTCCAGTCGCCCTTATCGGAGGGAGGCGGTTTCCAGTCGCCCTTATCGGATGGAGGTGGTTTCCAGTCGTCCTGACGCACTGGCCCCGGGGCCGACCAGGCCGAGGAGCAGACAACCAGAGTCAGTGCGAATGTCTTCATCGCGGTGGCCGAATGCTGCTGTGAGAGACCCGCCGTCTTTTATACCAGGAGACGATGATCTGCACCTCTGGCCCGCACAACGGCAGCGAACACCTGCAGCGATTTTGCCAGTCACTGATGCTGGGGAGAAAATCGTGTCTTTGTTTTCTTAGAGGCGCTCTCAAAAGAATATCGACCAGTTATCTTGTATGTAAGCACCTGTTGACGTAGGCCGCTTCGAGAACGTGCGTGTTCTGTCCTTTGCCGGCGAATGGCCTCTCCTGTGCCAGACATAGGGCCTCTCCTGTGCCAGACATACGGCCTTTCATGTGCCGGATATGCTGCCTCTCCTGTGCCAGACATACGGCTTTTCCTGTGCCAGACATGCTGCCTCTCCTGTGCCAGACATACGGCCTTTCCTGTGCCAGATATGCTGCCTGTCCTGTACCCAATGCGTGCCGAATGTGTACCCCCTCCAGTGCTGGACGGCCGTTCCTGTGTTAGACACACGGCCTCTCCTGTGGCGGGAGCACGGCCGCCCTAGTACTGGACGGCTGCTCCTGTGTCGGGCGTGAGTCGTCTCATGTTCCGGCACGCGGCCGCACCAGTGCCGAATATGCGGCCTCTCCTGTGCCCGACGGCCGCTCCTGGTGACATGCGCGGCCTCTCCTATGTCGGACACACGGCCCCTCCTGTGCCGGGAGCACGGCCGCCCTAGTACTGGACGGCTGCTCCTGTGTCGGGCGTGAGTCGTCTCATGTTCCGGCACGCGGCCGCACCAGTGCCGAATATGCGGCCTCTCCTGTGCCCGACGGCCGCTCCTGGTGACATGCGCGGTCTCTGCTGTGTCGGACATTCCACCGCTCTAGTGCCGGACGTGTGGGAGTCCCAGTGAAACAGTGACCCTCCAGTGAAACAGTGACCTTCAATAGAGCGGCATTGCAGCCGCTCTAGTGCCGGACGTGTGACAGTCCCAGTGAAACAGTGACCCTCCAGTGAAACAGTGACCTTCAATAGAGCGGCACTAGAGCGGCATTGCAGTCGCTCTAGTGCCGGACGTGCGACAGTCCCAGTAAAACAGTGACCCTCCAGTGAAACAGTGACCCTCCAGTAAAACAGTGACCCTCCAGTGAGCGGCTCACCGCCGCTTCAATGAGGTACTGGCGCTGTAGCTCAGTTTTGAGGAAAATTATTATAATGACAAAATGCGGGTGAATGAAACAAGTATTTCATGTCTTGCTCTATTTTTTACGAGTTTATTATATGCAGCCATTAGGTCCAAGGTACATATGGTATGGACGCTACCTAAATGCCGCTTTAAAAAGTCGCCGTTTTGGTTCATGAGCGACGCTGGAATCAGAATAGCTGCTTAACACTACACAAAGTCGTCACACGACGAAATAGTTGCACCGTCCGAAATGCGAAATGATCAAGCAGCCTCACCAAGCACGGCTTGTTACGAGGCACTGGTCCGCCATCCATGTATCCCAGAACATGAAATAGGTTTTCCAGTGTCAGATTTCTGGTGGGTAGTTCTGAATTGGAAGTACAAGTTTTCCATACGAAGATTGTATATACTAGAAATATGCTTTTTGAGCACTATGGAAAACGATGGAATTTGTTTCAGACACTGCAGTTAAAGACATGGACCATAGCTGTGATACGAAGCAAGAAATTATCCACCTTGGCGATGCAGTTTGTAACATCAAAAAGAGTGAAAAAGTGATAGCAGAGCGATGGGGAGGGATTTTTTGGACGCATTAACCCGGCAAGAGCTCTTTCTCCCGCATTGATATAACCCCAATATGCCGTGAGATAATGCAGGGGTGGGAGGGAGTTTGCAACGTGCCATTTATGGTTAAGATGTGGTCGCTGACCGAACCTGTTTTTGCCTTTTTGCTTTCATGCGACGTTTTAGATTTTAATCCAATCAACTCTGCTCACCGACTTAAGTCCGTTGCGCTGGCCACTCACGCACTAAGGCGTACGCCTTAACCAGCTTGACCTTTGGCACGGCCAGTAAGTGACACTTTAGTGCGAATGATAGTTCCGAAACGAAAACATTATTTTTATCGTTCAATGTATGTCAGGGTCATTGTGATCATCGTGATCATTGTGAGGTAGCGTCTGGAGCAGCTGAAGGCACGGTGAGGTAGCGTCTGGAGCAGCTGCAGCCACAGTTAGGTAGCGTCTGGAGCAGCTGCAGGCACAGTGAGGTAACGTTTGGAGCAGCTGCAGGCACGGTGAGGTAGCGTCTGGAGCACTGCAGGCACAGTGAGGTAACGTTGGAGCAGCTGCAGGCACGGTGAGGTAGCGTCTGGAGCAGCTGAAGGCACGGTGAGGTAGCGTCTGGAGCAGCTGCAGCCACAGTTAGGTAGCATCTGGAGCAGCTGCAGGCACAGTGAGGTAAAGTTTGGAGCAGCTGCAGGCACGGTGAGGTAGCGTCTGGAGCAGCTGCAGGCACAGTGAGGTAGCGTCTGGAGCAGCCTCAGGCACAAAGGTGGTGTCTGGGGCGGCTGCAGGAGTGATGAAGGAGAGCACGTGGAGGTGTCACGAGAACCGGACCGATGCATGCTCTTCATGTTGGAGGCAGGGAGATGCATGGCATCACGTATCTTTGCCACCCTCTGTCCTGCGCCATGGAAGTGGAAAGCCCGGAGTTCAGGCACCTCCCATAGCTATTTCGTCATCTTCAGAGACGATGTCTAGCATTCGGTGTTTTACGCCAGGTTCAGGGAGCGGAGTGTCACAAAAGTAGGCCGAAACATAGCGCTGTCTATGCTATTGATGGCCGGTGTCGGTCACCGTGGTGTGCGGTGAGCTGTCACGGAGCGGTATGCCTTTTCAGGAAGCACGCCGAGAAGCCAGCACGCGTGTATCCTGACAAGTGCAGAATCGTAAAGACAACCATCACCGACGTCTGGATGACTCAGATTCTGGTGGCCAGATTCTGTTCACGGTTGTAGAGCTCGTTATAACCCCAGCATCTAACAGTCGTGGAGTTGTCACCGCACCGCTCCAAACATTGTTTTGGGATGTTAAAAAATCGTTAGGGTTCGTAGGCGTAACCCCGCCCTTGAATGTCGGTAGAAAACTCACGTTGGGCACATTGGATAATAGGCGTCCCGTGAGCACAAGACCCGAAGTAAACGCCCATATGTGTTCTCAGCGTTTGCAACAGCCCTCTCGTCACTTTGACTGTGGAAGCATTTTTTATGCGTGCATGAGCGCCCGCCGTCAATTGCGGGATATACGTCAGATGGGGCGCGCCCTAGGTAGCACGTGAGTACAGGCCTCCGTGTCACTGTCACTTCCCCCTCCCCCCCCCCCAAATAAACGTCACGCCGAAAGCCGAGTTTCCGCCTAAGCTCCTGTCCGGAGCCCCTATCCGCCGGTCCGGACCATCCCCGGCCAGAGCCGGAGTCGCGCAGCGCCACGTGCAGGCCCCCGCGAGGTTCAGCTGAGAGGCCGCGCGTGGAGTTGTGGAGTTTCTTCCCACCTTCTCGCTCTCTCCCCTCCGTTCGGCTGACAGGAATGTGTCGCAGCAGGGAGGAGGCCGGGAAGCGGGCAGATGCGCCACCAGCGCTCCTTCAGCGCATTGCGCGGGTGCTGCTGCGCCTGTCACGCGCGCGTCAGCGGCCACCGCCTCGTTGTATGTCGGGCCTCCAGTCAGCCAAACGCCGACTGTAGGCCGTGCGCGCTGATAACGGTATGGCGTGCGGTCGCCCGCCGTCGGCTAACCGAACACGCGTTCAAATGTCAGCCACCTGAACATCGCCGTGATAAGATAGCTCCAATCTGTATTGACGCGGACTCCACACACAGCCGTCACAGCCACCACGGCCGTCACAGGCATCACAGCCGTGACAGCCGTGATGGCCCACCGGCCGGACCGGTCTGCAGCTAGTCGGGCCTCCACTCCTCGTCGCTGCCGTCCGTCGGTCCGCCGCTGGACTGGTCCGACGGCGAGGCCGGCCGCCGGCCCCGGCCCCGGCCCCGGCCCCGGCCCCGCACAATCTCCACCGTCAGCTGGTTGAGCCGGGTGCGCCGCCGCGGCCGGGGCGCCGCCGGAGAGACGGCGCGCCGGCGGCCGGGCGGCGGCGGCCCACTCTCGGGCCGCGGCGTCGTCGCCAGGCGCGTCTCCTCGGCAGAGAGCGGCGCCGGGTTCCGGTGGAAGGTCTCTCGATGCACCTGCGGCGGGGTGGAGCGTGTGGACTGGGCGCGGTAGGGCGCGCCGCTCGGGCACTATGTCCTCACTGGCACACACACCGCCAACGGTGCCAGACATCGATGCATTACACTTAATCTCGCGCGAAACTCTACGCGATATGGCAGAGTACCCGAGCATAAAAATGAGACAAATGTAACGCTGAAAAAAATGCGATGCGGAGTAACAAAATGCGCAAAGAAGCGTGACTTTAGGTAGCGGTAGTTAACCCTGCGCTAAAAACGAAACGACCGACGCAGGTTCGTCTTGACTACGGAACGTGCAATGACGCGTAACTAATGACTTCAAAGCATGCTTTCCCGAACAAGTTATTTACGTGAACGACGATGCGGCCGGAACAGCGCGGCCACCCACCATCAAGTTCTTGAGGTTGATGAAGCGGCGGGGGCAGACGCCGCAGTAGACGCGCTGCTGGCCGTGCGACTTCATGTGCCGCTCGAGGTAAGCACGCAGCGCGAACCGTTGTCCGCACACCTCGCACACCTCGTCCCTGGCGGCTGGGGCGAGCCGGGTCAGCACGGAGCGCGGGTGGAGGCGGGGCGCACCGCCGTGACGGAGCGGTCCGGGGCGGGGCGGCACGCTCGCCCCAGAGCAAGCCCCTCCGGCGTTTACGAGCTATGACGTCGGCGGACACGCAGCCACGGGCGAATCACACCACGAACGCACATTATCCGCTCTTTAGTACGTCCGGTACGACTCAGGCCCGCCCCCAGCTGCATCACTACGACGTGGGCAGGGCGCCGCCGCTGCCCGAGCGGCGGAGATAACCTGTCGCGCGCCCACTCTCACCGGTGTGTATCTTCAGGTGCTGCCGGAGCCAGGAGGTACGACGAGGTCCGGGGCGGGGCGGCACGCTCGCCCCAGAGCAAGCCCCTCCGGCGTTTACGAGCTATGACGTCGGCGGACACGCAGCCACGGGCGAATCACACCACGAACGCACATTATCCGCTCTTTAGTACGTCCGGTACGACTCAGGCCCGCCTCCAGCTGCATCACTACGACGTGGGCAGGGCGCCGCCGCTGCCCGAGCGGCGGAGATAACCTGTCGCGCGCCCACTCTCACCGGTGTGTATCTTCAGATGCTGCCGGAGCCAGGCGGCCGTTTTGAAGCTGCTGTGACAGGTGGGACAGGCGTGCGTGGACGCACCCCCGCCGTGGTTCTGTCGGCGGTGACGGGTCAAGTTGTCCGCCCGGCTGAACTGGGACGGGCACTCCGGGCAGGAAAGCCTGGCCGACACGGCACGTGTCAGTCCTGAAGACGGACAGCACACAACGGGGACGGACACTCCGGGCAGGAGACCCTGGCCGATACACGGCACGTGGTCAGCCCGGCGGACGGACAGCACAACTCGGACAGACAGCACATACTGGCACATAGCAGACAAGGTAAGGACACCCTCGCCGAACGCCAGCAGACGCTGCTGCACCACGGAGCACTTGGCAACCGGACGGTGGAGACCTGGCGGGACATCCAGCGAGATCAACACCACGTCCAGCTGCGGATGCCGGCCCTCTCCCATCCATCCTGGTGTGACCTCACCGCCCTCATCCGCGCCCGTGTACACCCCTGAGCCGCGCCATCCCTCGCACCGGCGGCCGACCCACCTGGCCTGGGAGCGGTGCGTGCGCTGGTGCCGGCGCAGGTCCATCGGCAGCAGGAAGGAGCGCGAGCACACGTCGCAGACGGCGCGCGCCGCCGTGTGTCGGCGCAGGTGACCCTTGGCGTTTGTGTAGTACCTGACGACGGCCGAGCGCAGCCTCAGCGACGCACCTCGGACCACACGACACGCCGACACGCACTCAACACTGGCCAACGGCTGACATGGCTAACAGCTGGGCTGGTTCTGTACGGGAAGGCGGCGCACGACAGTCAGTATTTACAATATAGTATGGTACACTACTCGGTACAGCACAGAACAGTACAGCACTTGGTACAGTACAGCACAACACTTGGTACCGCACCTGGTAATTATATTACTTTGCTTTAGATGTCTGGAATAATACGCACAAATTAATCCCTAAGCCGCTCCTGCTTTTTAATTTTCGCCTATAACTCCGATGATTGCGCCAGCCGCGCAGACTGTATGGCAGACATGCTGGTTTAAATGCTAGACACTGCGCTGGTAAGACTAGTTCCTCACGACCGACCGGCAGCCGACCACGACAGCCAGGCTCAAACAGCGACCACGGTGTCATGACACCGCATGACAGCTTGATGTCATGTGACAAAAATTGTCTGCTGCACTGGCGTTACTTTACCAGGGAGATACTTCGGTGCGGGTATTTGCCACATCTTATGTGTAGCAGGGGCTCTGAAATCAGAGACATCACTGCAAAGCGCAGTCAAATTAGCAAGATACACTCCTGCACCAACGCAGCCACGTAGTGCAGCCGCTTTTCAGGCCGCTTCTGGCTGAGCACATGTGCGCCGTCCGACTCCAAGCGCCGAACAAAGGTGCTTCTGACCTGAATGTGGCCTGACCTGAAGGTGTCTGACCTGAAGGTGTCTGACCTGAAGGTGGCCGAGCAGGCCGAGCAGTGGAAGGGCGTCTCGCCGGTGTGGGAGACCAGGTGGCAGCGCAGGTTGCCCTTGGACGGCAGTACTTTGCGGCACGTGCAGCACGGGAAACGAGACTGCGCCTTATCCTCTTTACTCCTGGACAACGCGTATGCTAGGTCAAGCTCAAGCCCACATGTGTATCACAACCCATAAACGCATGGTGCGTGAAAAACAATGGCGAAAGTTCTAGACAAGCCAGCATCACACATAACCAATAACGTGTCACTGTGAGCTACATACGTCCTGGACGATCGATTTGGGAACAAGGGAAATGGTCAGGGTACTACACTAACAAACAGACAGCAAATCAAAACTCCCCTCTGAACCCTACCCGCACTCAAAGACCGCCCTCTGCCAGCATCTTTCACGCACAAGCCCTACCTGTCGACCCCCTACCTATGCCCCAACCAATCAGGACCCAGCCGTCAGCCACCCTGACCAATCGGCGCCCACCTGGCGGCGATGGCCACCTCCAGCAGGGAGACAGTCTTGGGCGTCGTCTGCGCGTTGAGACGGGTCAGCACGCGCGGCTGAAGCACCTTGCCGCGGCCGCCGGCCCAGCCGCTCGCCGGCGCCGACCAGCTGCGTCTGGGGCCGGGCCGAGCGCCGTCCGAGCCGGGCTGGCGTCTCTTCCGGGAGGGTGGTGCCGGTCCGGCCGCCGCGCCACCTGACGGCCCTTCGGCAGGGCGGGCCTCCGCGTGCTCCTCGACGCCGACCGGCGAGGCGGGGTCGTCCTCGGAACGGGGCGGCAGGGCTGTCGCCGCGTTCTCCAGGCGGAACGCTGACCCGCCCCACGGCTGGACAGCTGCGCTTGCTCTGCGGCGCACCGACGGACCCCCCTTCAACCGGACAGAGGCGTCTACTTCTGCGGTGACCGTTCGGTCGTCCTCGGAGCGGTCCTCCGAGGACGACCGCCGGTCCGACCTCGGCCACACCGGCGGATCTTCGCCCCGACAGGCCAGCGGGCCGCCGCCCAGCCGCAGGGCCGCGTCTCCCTCCGCGCAAAGAGTCGACCCGCCTCCAGCTCCGCCCGGCGTTGCACCAACCGCGCAGCCCTCGCCCAGATCTTCCCCAGAGCTGGGCGTTCGCTCGTCGGCGTCCCTGGGATCCCGGCGCGGGAGGGCAGCGTCGGTCGCCCGGTCGCCGGCGCGCGGGGTCGCCGCGATCTGAGCCGAGGTCGGCGGCGGCGCGGGTGGGAGAGCGACCGGTGGCGCCGGCTCTGCAGCGACCCAGCTGCCGGCAGCGGCGGCCGGCCAGATCGGCGGAGGCCGGCGCGTCATCAGCAGCACGAGCGGCGCCTGGGCTGCGGCTGCCCTCGCCAGCGGCCGGAGCTGCTCGCCGGAGCCGGTGGCAGGCGGCAGCGGATCGGCCCCGGCGCCAGGGCGGGGCTCGGCGGCGGCCGCGGACGGCGGCAGGGTTTGCGGTGTCTCCTTCAGACCAACGCCGGGCCGCCTCCGGCGCCTCCGCGGCGGCCGGCCGGCGGCGGCAGACGTCCGCAGCGGCGCGATGGGCACCTTGAGCCCAGGCGGCACCAGCCGTACGGCCCGCGGCAACGGCACCGGCATCGGTACCGGCGGCGGCTGCGGTGACGGGGGCGGAGGGTCAAGTGGAGGCGTCGGTGGCGGCGGCGGCTGCTGCTGGGTGGGCGGCGGCGGCAAGGCAGGCCATAACTGCTCGGCGCTGAGCAGCGGCAGCGCCACCTGGTCACCAGCAAGACACACCAGGGCGCCGGAGAGCAGCAGCGGCGGCTCAGCCGGCGGCGCCTGCCCCTGCCCCTGCCCCTGCCCCTGCTCCTGCTCCTGCTCCTGCTCCTGCTCGTGCTCTGGCTCGGGCTCCGGCTCTGGCTCTGGCTCTGGCTCTGGCTCCGGCTCCGGCTCCGGCTCCGGCGGCGGCTCCGGTTCGGCCGCCGGCACTGGGCTCAGCTCGGCGGCTGCCGGCTGGCCCTGCTTGATGCCCGGCCGTGCCAATGGCAGCCGCCGGAAGAACTCGAGCAGCTCGGCGTCGTACCGCTCCGTGGCTACCATGTCGAGCAGGCGTCGCAGCTTCTGGCGCCGCTCGGCGGTGGCGGCGGCCAGCGGTGGCGGCCCGTCGGCAGCGGCGCGCCCCTCCGGTGGCAGCACGTGCACCTACGCGGCAGCCAGGCCCGGCATTAGCGCCAGCGCACGCACACTAACAACATTTTGCATCGGGTTGTTAGGTCCCAAACTTCAGAGCATGTTTAACCTTCTGACAATAAAAAGAAGAAGTGATAAGTGATAAAAAGTAATAAGTGAGCACGCTCTGCCAGGCTCTAAACAGGGAAATGAGAGCGAGTGGCCCATCGATTGGCCACATTACACACTTTATCATCATTGGATCTCCGTCGGTGTTGCTTCATCAATGGATGCAGCTTCGTCTTCGAGAAATACCGCCGCACAAATAAAGCTTCACAGCAAAAGCATGTGAAGCAGGAACAGCCACAGGCAAACGTCACCAACTCGCTACCAGTGTAAACCCCACGACACGAACCAACTCACATCCAGGATGTCCTTTTTGCCGCGGCCAGTGATGGGAGCCAGCTGGACGCCGTGCTTCCGCTTCAGATGTCGCTTCAGGTCCACGCTGTGGTTGTACTGGTGGCCGCAGAGCGAGCACACCCAGCGCTTCCAGTTGGCGTGGCGGCTGACCAGATGGCGCTGTAGGTTGTCCACCGCGCGGAACGACGCGGCGCAGAGCGGGCAGCGGCGCGGCGCCGCACCAGAGCTTTTGTGGAACGTCGCCAGGTGTCTCTGCAGGGCGCCGCGCCGGGAGAACACCGCGCCGCACGCATCGCAGAGGATTGTTTTGGGCTCGCAGAGGTGAACGGTGGATACGTGAATGGCTAGCCGGGACTGCGTGGGAAAGGGAGCGCAGCAAAACCGACAGAGATGCCTGCAACAACAAGTTGAGAGAATTAGGCCAAGTTGGGAAACACATGGGTGCCCAGCAATGTGACGTGCAGCTCACCAGGATTATTACAAACAATTTGGCAGAGCAGCTCAGGATAACTTGAAATGAGCAGCAATCAGTGTTCTCACAGCAACAACATGAAACACTTACTCTTTCTTGGTGACACATATCCTATTGAGGACGTGTTTCTGGAGAAGCTTGCTCCGTTGGAATGTGCGGTTGCAGTCTAAGCATCTTCCACCTTCTGTATCAATGTGGGAGTCAATCAAATGTCTGCAACAAGGCCAATGATGAGCACACCAAGTGGAACACACACACGCGCGCACGCACGCACGCACGCACGCACGCACGCACGCACGCACGCACGCACGCACGCACGCACGCACAATTGTGAAGTACAGGTCATACATGCATCACAGCTCAATCAAAATGCCACAAATAAATCAGGCTCAGATCAACTATTGCCCAAATATTCCAACTGAGACCTAATATCATTTAAAATTGTATCTTATGTCAACTTATCTGCTCCTTGTCGGTCAGCCAAAAAAATGTTCCCAACATCGGAACAATCATCTCCAAGGTAAGGATCAGTATCCAAGCTTTTAGACTGCTGGGATGTTTAATGTTGTTAAAAGGTGCTGATTGTTTCAGATGGAAATGTCAAGAACAGACATGAGAGAGCAGAGCTGATGATGTCAGCCCTGTCAGCCAAGGAACTTTCACTAATTTGGGACAATTCCCATGATGTTCAATCAGCATGAGAAACTACTTTTCCATACAGAGAAACACTGGTAAGTGAAGCAATCCTCAAAGATTTGTAACTCAGCACCTCACATGACAGAGTATGTGAGACTGTCCAAAACCACACTCACAGATGGCATAGTAACCAAGCAGTGCTCAATGAGTTCATGCTTATGGTGTAAAACATTGAAGTCATACATACCTATCAAGTCTTGATGCTGACATGAAGGACAGCTGGCATTGCTGACAGCTGAAGGTAGTTGTAGTGGTGGTTGATTTGGCAGGCAACTGCTTTACAATGCCAATACAAACCAGTTGAGGGAGTGCAGTAACAGCTGAATCCATTTCAAAAATGCCTGCCAGCACATCAAGGGTAGCTTATCCTTTTCCTAAGAAGAATATCAATTTAATGCCTGTCATTCAAGACAAGTGATCATGACCAGTGACAGTAAATTAATTGAACACATCCCTCATCCCTAGAGCTCACAGATCATATCATCTGTATGTCACAGAATGTGTACACCACATACACATCATACCATATCCTACCATTACAAATCATATCACCACATGAATAGGCATGGCAAGTATCACATGATCAGAGATGCTTCAAAATAGTCTGCAACATCTCACCTCAAAGGAAGCCAATGACAGGCCAGTTAGTAAACATGGGCTAGTAAACACCTTCATCATGCTAGAAATTAATCTGTTTCGACCATGTGTTGATGGCACCTTTCATCAAATGTGACAAAAGCTTTCCATGAGAACAAACTTTCCATAAAATATCATTCTGTGAAGGTAACTTTAGGCAAAAGTTCTTACAAGGCATTTTTCATGAAAAATATTCGTCCCTCTTAGCCTAGCCTGAGTTCAGGTCGTATAAACACAAGAATCAGTTCACTAACACCTCAGACATCCAGAGCAGTGAAATAAAGTTTTGCGGACTAACCTGCAGCGGTACTTGCGAGTTAAGCTAAAAATTCCTTGCCCTATCCTGTTTCGGGTACGCTTCGTCCAGAACGAATAAACACCAATGCTGAGCGTATTAGTCGTGATTGCCCCCATAGCGTCATCCTCGTAGCAGCAATTTGGCAGCTTTGTTGCCCGTCTTTCGAAGCAATGAAAAGATAGTTGAAAGTAGGCGTCAAGGTGTGTGGGCGCATAATATAATAATTAGCATAAGAGCACCACCAATAAAGCGTGCTCCAAAACGCAGCCAAGTGCCGTCCCCGAGGCGCGCAGTCAGAGCCTTGGCAAGTGGGGAGCTATACTTGACAAAGGGCCCCTCGTCAGCGTAAGTCCCTCGAAAATCGGCGGAAATTGCGTATTTCTTAATAAGGGCATGCTTTCCTAAATACTTTTGTCTATTTACCTCCTATAGCTGGAAAAGAGCCAGCATATCAATGGTATCATATCAAGGACATCGATTCTGCATAACTTGAACAGTCAATGAACTGAACAATTGCCTAAAATATAATGAATTGCTTTGAACGACCGCAAGAAATGAATCGTAGGTGCTCCTGATTTTACGATAGTTCAGTGAACTCTTTCTTATCCTCAGAAGCTTTTTCATAATTTTATATCTGATTTCTACAGATATATCAAGGACCGCACGAATGTAGATTGTACATCGGAAAGGGTCAACATGTGAAAGGCTTGGTAGTATGTAGAAAGTAGCATGGTATATATACATATATAGCATATATATATATATATATATATATATATATATATATATATATATATATATAGCAAAATATAGGTAGAAAGTAGCATGGCCAAGCGCGGATGTCGACTTGTATCCTTTTAGGTGGGCCACTCCCCCACCCCCTCAATGTCCAATTCCCCCCCCCCCCACGCACACACAGGCACCCACAATGGTGAGTTCGGCCTCCCCAACCTTCTGGCACCGAAGTTAAAGCAGAGCACAAACAATGATGGATAATTAACGTCATTATATCAATTAAAAAGACGGGCTCCAAAGAAAATGAAAATTGCAGTCAATTCAGTTGATGATTTTGTCCTGTTGTAGGCAGGATGCATAATTTTGGTTGCATGATTAGTATATCTTGTTGACTTTGGCTTCATGGCGTGCTATTGTGTGTTTTGGCATTAATTAGCAATGTTTCATGTTTACAGACTGTAGCAAATTTCGTGGTTTTGTTTCGAAATTATAAAATAAACAAACTGGCCGAAATTAGGACGCGAAAACGCGATCCGGTCATTAGCCGTTTGCATGCGAAAGAACCGTTGAAATGTGCTGACTTCCACATGGACGCGAATACTCGATGAAACCGTTACGAGAACTTGACGATCGACACCAACCGACTAAACCGATAGCAGCAATTTCCCAACAACATGCCTAATGCGAGTGCCGGCTTGCTGCCCGCCTTGCCCCGCCTTGCGGCTATCACACCAGGATTTCCGTGGCAGCCTTTAACAGCCCCGCATATGAACTTTCACTCTTTACTCCCGAGGCTGTATCCAGCTGAGAACATTTGAAGCCAAATAACATCGGCCTCCCGTTGATTACCGAAACCTGGTTTTGACGATCGACGCCAAACAAACTGCTAATGATATCCAATGTCAGCATCTTCCACCAAGAAAGAGCGAGGAAACGCATCAGAGCTGGAATGTAGTTTTCTATTGGGTGGGGGGGGGGGGCTGGTGACTTCAACTTCATAATGTTGGGAGAAAAGTAGGTCGAAGGCGGGGAAAAATCCATTGTTGGGTGTACTTATGGTTAGGTCTTCCCCTCTCAGCTCCCAGGCCTATTTTGCGAAACAACACCCCTGTGGTGGAGTCAAATTTCAAACAAAAGACACCAGATTACACCACCGTCTGACCTGGGGCGCGGGCCCACTCCCCAGGCAGAGATTAGCCCACTAACAGTGTCATGCAATGCGCGCGTGCCCATCCTCGGCACGCGGTGATGGATACGTTGCATCGGGCTGCATGGCTGTCACGTACGAGCGGAGCTGAGAGTTCCAGCCCGCCCGGGATGGCAGCCCGGCAGTCTGTTGGGCGTGGCCGGCGTCCGTCAGCGACGAGGGCGACCACCACCGCTTCGGCATCACGTCTGTTGCCCCGAGATGAGACGTCTCTGCCGCAGCATCGGCGGTAACGGCGGTCCATAAGCATCAGCGCCGGCAGACTGCTGTGCACACGCTTTGCAACAAAACAGCTTTCAGCACATTCTAGTGTGCAGGAGCAGATGACAGAATGCTGACAGAGGACTGCGATTCCGATTCAATCCTTGCTATGCTATGTTGGGGACATAGCTAGAGATCCTATGTCATCCGCACGTCCGGCGTCAAGCATTTTGCATATGCCACATATCTTTTGGCCAAAAATGGGCTGAGGGACCCCAGATTTCGGAAGAGAGATATTCTGCGGTAGTTGGGAACGCGACCAGATAGAGTTGGAAGCAACGCGCTTCGATAAAACGACCTTTCCGTGGCGTACCACGAGATCAAGTAACCGGGAGCATGCTTTATATATTTTGAATGAGTTCGAGTGTTGAGTCTCAGCTCACTTCGTCATACTTTCATATCACCTGATCGGCACACGATCTTATACAACAGCTTGTTTGCAAAGCTTGTATTTTTATGCGGGTACTGCCAGACTCATGACTGGAAACAATAAAATAAGAAGGTAACAATAAGAAAGGACACATACTAAACCCAGCAGCACAAAAACGCAATCGCATTGGGCAACGCTGAACTTGATCGAGAGATTACACAGCAGTTCAGAGAGATTACACAGCAGTTTGTCAGCAACATATCTGACGAGAGACTGGAGAAACGTACGGGGACAGCCCCGACCAAGTCCTCTACACGAACTGAATACTGCGCCGCGGCTGCAGAGCGGCCAATGAGATCGGAAGGCGACCTTCAGTCACCCCTGCCCTGCCCCCTGCCGAGGGACACCGACCGGGCCGACGAGGCCGGCCGGGCCGGAACCCGTGGCATGGGACACGACACCACTGCAAGGCCCGGGCTGCAGTACTACTGCCCGCCCGCCTCCACAGCTGTAGTGCAGCTGCCCGCGCCACACGCGCACGCTGCCAGGCAGCCAGGTCAACGACTCCCACTGCGACTCAATTATTGGAATTATCTCCCCCTTTGTCTCTTGGCATCGCCATGGGCGCTGCCTAAGTTGGGGCACAATGTTTGAAACATCAACCACAGGTTATTACGGTAATTACGTCTGTCTCCGTCTCTCATAGCGTCTCCCCCCCCCCCCCCCCCCAGAAAAAAACACTCAAAAACACGCGCGGTACAAACGGCCGCGTGCCGCCACCCAGTGACTAGAAGAGAAAGGGCGATGGCGGCGACGCACCGCCAGGTGGTAGGCTCGGCGTCCCGCCGCCCGCTCGCCCGCCCGCCACACTACCGACCCTGTAATCCTGACGCCGGGTCACAATCGGGACCTGGGGCCAGCACGGCCACCAGCGTCCCGAGCACGCGCACCCGCACACTGCCACACCCAACTGTATGTACACTGTACACGATCCACACGGAGGATCTCCTTCACACGTGCTCTGAGGGCATCCCCGCCTCTCACCAACACACGGGGTACGCGCCGTCTGTACAAAATACAAGAGTGCCAGGGACCAACCGCCGGGCGGCAGGCCCCAAGACAATCCCCAGTCACACCGGTCGGGCCAGGCCACATTCTTTGGTCCGATCTAGGCTACATGTACGCATCAGGCGCGCCGGGGCCACCGTGCCAGCCGGCGCCGGGGCGGGACAGGCTGGCGGGTGACATATTGCAGTGGTGCACTGGCAGCAAGCGACGCTCCCAGCGGCCGGCGCGGCGGCCGGGCCACTCTCAGCGGCCGCCGCCGCGTCGGCGAGTAACTAGAACCGCGTCAATGGTCGGCGACTACGTCACGAGGGGGCGCCACGCGTCGGGCCGTGCGCCGCGCGAGCGTTAAAAGCTCTGCGCCACGTGTCGGAGCGCCGAGGCCGCCGGCGTGGCGTGCGTGATGAAGAAGACGAGCCGCGTCGGCAGGACGCCCGAGTTCAGCTGGTAGAACTCGACCAGCTGCAGCAGGTCGTAGAAGCGCGTCTTGCCGCCGTCCAGCGAGTAGTAACAGGTGGGCGGCGTCTGACTCGTGTCCTTCACCTGCCGGCCCGTCGTGTCGACACAGTTCAGTCGCTAATTGGGACAGATTGGGAAGGAAAGCAGGATTTGGACTCACGATAGGCACTCATGATAGGCCCTTACGAGCGGGAATGATGAACTTTCGCAGAAACAGAACGCCAAACACTGGTTTGAGTACAGCCCAGGCTCGTTCGGGAGGAGCCCCGATCCTTACACGGTACGGGCACACGAGAAACGCTTTGTTCAGCTGCATGGGCTATGCTTCAGCTAACTGGGCCCATCCCAACAAAAATCAGTCAAAATTGCGGACTTTTGACAACATGGTGAGGCCGAATAGCCACGAAGGTCCGGTGGCCACAGGACCTGACTGCCAAACAGCCGACGAGCGGTACCCCAACGTGCACGCGATAGACCTCTTTTCAACATGATCAAAAGAACCAGACTTCATTCAGGTTATGGTTCACAATGACGGCGTCGTCCTATTAGCCCAGAAATGCGAACGGTCAGGATGGCCTACATCGTGCAGGCTCTTCCCTTCTTTAACTAAACAAACACATGAGGGCAATGCGTGGACAGAACTGTCTGCAGATGAAAGCTGACACTGACAAATGCTGTGTTTATCTATTTAATTGGGCTCAATGGGAGGTGCACTCGTGGCATTAATGATGATCGCGGTCCTCTCAGGCGCCGAGTCATGTCGGCGGTGCAGAGGAAAAATTGAAAAATAAACCTTTTATAGGATTTATTTTCGTCGATGCACACTTCCCTTACGGATAGAACATTGTAGCTACTAAAAGCATCGGGTTCTTCTGGTTCTAAAATTGCAGACGTGTACCTGATGTAAGATCGTAGCAGGCAGGATATTCCATGTGAGCTTACCGGCATGATCTGGGCGTGGTAGAGCTTCATCCGGTACGCGAACGACAACACAAACGCCACTGGGTTGCTGCGACTCTCACGAACCAGGAACACACTGAATTGAAAGATGCAAGAACCGTGTTTTCAGTAATGACGCATGATGTTGAGCAGTTCAGAGTAAGAGGTTTTAACCGGAATCAACATCTATGGACGACAAACACACGACCCACAAGAAAATGGTCACTGGCGGTAACCAAAATTTTATTTTACATTCTGAGTCCAAGTCTTATAAGCTCCAGACAAGATCCCGCCCACGTTCGCTAGAACTAGTCGTCTGAGACTCCCAGCATGATGCTACACAGTAATAGCACAGTAATAACCATACCTATATAATACCACTACATCGGCAACACCCATGTTAAATTACTAACAGACGTGTGCAATGGAAAGAAGCGTATCAGCTGTAAAATTGCACGGACTCGCAGGCAAACTGGACAACCTAAGGTAAACTGGGTAAGTTACGGGCAAACCCATCGGACGATTCTTTTTCGTGACACGCAAGCGTTCATCAGCCGAAATCAACGCTTCATTTGCTTGCGCCGAAGATGTTATCGTTAGGCCACATTCCGGCCGCTCACACATGTGGATTTAGTTTAATGCGATGTACAGTGCCCCTCTTCGTCGAGACATACTCTGGGCAGAGCCGTTGCCGATGCAGTACTATTATATATTCACGTCTATGGTAATAGCAATACCATACACTTCTGGGCTCGTTCGGAAACCCTCTACGAGCCCTCGAACAACAGAGCCCACGATGTACGGGGTGATTGCCGCAAGAGCTGCGTCGGTGACGTAGGCAACACCAAGAGCGGGCTCCGGACTCCTCCCTACCCCTCCCCTTCCTCCCACGCCGCAGTACTCACCCGTCCCGGCCGTTGTGCTTATGGAGCAGCTGCGAAGCCTCCTCTCGGTTGAGCGTGCCGTGGAACCAGGGCTGCATGGTATGGATGGCGCCCTCTATGTCACGCACCGATGAGCCGGAGGCCAGCTCTGCGGGCGGCGCGGCACAGGTCAGCGGCCTCGTCCGGGTCCCCCGACACCCGCATGGGGCCCGGCCCAGGCAGCGGCGGCGGCGGCGGTGGGACGCGCCACGTGATCGCATGTCCACCAGAGCCGCAGAACACCGACCAGCCTCCCATGTTTATGCACCACCACGTGTTAGGCGCCCCCTCTACACGTGACCACGCTCACTTGGACTCGCTAAAAAACGACACTATGTTAAAATTGCTACGTTTTTACATTTGCTTTGCCGCATCTAGCCCCAAATCTTTCTCGGTTAATTATTGTTGAACGCAACAGCGAGGGAGTCTCTTATGAGACACGTGTTCAAGATTCCGCGCCTGAAGTTACACTAAAGCATTTGCCACTCAAACAAAACTCACTCACAGCAGCTATGGCTCACTCACAAGACGCTGGGAACAAAGCGTTCCGAGCTTCCTGTGAGTAAGCCATAGCTGCTTCCCTCTTGGCTCCGTTCTCGGCTGGTCACCGGAGCGCCCCTCCCTCTCGGCTCCGTTCTCAGCCAGCCATCGGAGCATCCCTCGCTCCGGCTCGGTTCTCGGCCGGTCGCCGGAGCGTCCCTCCCTCTCGGCTCCGTTCTCGGCCGGTCGCCGGAGCGTCCCTCCCTCTCGGCTCCGTTCTCGGCCGGTCAACGCAGCGTCCCTCCCTCCGGCACAGCTCGGCCGTCCGTCGGCGAGCCTCACCTGAGAGCCGCTTGAGGGCGTTGGTGCGCCGCAAGTGGTGTCCCTCCGCCAGCTCGATAGCCTTGGCCTCGACCGGGTCACTGACCACGCGGCCGCAGCTGCCCGTGAAGTCCATGGCCACCAGCGAACGCATGCTCTGCTGCCGGGCGACAACAAACAGACACGGGGTCAGAGGGCGGCGCCGGGCGACGCCCCCTCCCCCTTCCTCCAGCCTCCCTCGCCCATCAGCGCTGACGGGGGGCGCGCCCGTGTGCGGTTTATGGACACGGCAATGGACCGCGCTGGCCGGACTTAGCGGGGGCCCACATCAGGCTGCACTTGGCGCGTCACTGACACGCTGCAGCGGATCGCCGTCCACCGAGGCGCGTCATTTCCATGAAGATGAATGGGCGATCTTGGCTGCTGCTGCTGCCAGTTCACACAAACGAGGGAGGGTTGAAGCGAAATGGTAACGCACCGTACAGACAGACAGCCTACGGCTACAGGGCATACTAGTTCGAGATTGGCCCAATATCGGGCCTCAGTTTTCCGGCGTGTTTTTCTTGAAGATGGCAGGACGCTCGGATGATCGTAGTTTTCGGAACTCCCGTCAGACGCAAACAACCCACACCCCACAGACGGAGCATGCTTGTGGGGCATGTCATATTGCATGGCGGCTTTGCATTCCCTCGGGGTGTGCCGTTCACGTTTCAGAGCTTCACGTTTCGCATTAATTGACACCGTTCCGTCGCGGTGCTTCGTGGCAAGGCTCGCACAAACAAGCTAGGGGCATGACTGATGGTCTCACTTTTCAGAAATGACCTAATTCAACAGCAATGTCGACACCTGGGTGAATCAATGAACGTGAATGCCGGCATGCGCACAAGCATGACACGAAAAGAATGCGTGAGTACGCCAATACTATTTGTTTCGTGATTTATAGACGCATGAAGCTGCTGTAACGACCGTTACCGTGGCCCGTCACGACACCAGCCCCGACATGACTAAGGCACGCCACGTGCACACTACCAACCGGAAACTAACTCTAGCCTCTACCAGGCGGAGCATCCGGTGGGATTTCGGCATTCGCATTTTGGAATGAGTAAAGGTATGCCGATATTATGTAAGGGAATTCCGAAATCTTACAGGACATCCAGTTCGCTTCCTGGTGAATTTACGGTGGTCATATCATGTTCACATGCACTGTCTGCTAGGATGCCAGTCAAAAGAATGCAGTTTCAGGAGTTGGCATAATTGTTGGTAATCGCAGATAATTCGTAACATTTTGCCCTACAAGTGCGAGTTAGGCAAGCTTAGGGGTTTGCGCCCAGCGAAAAATGACTTAACACCTTGGTAGGAGGATACCGTATTTACTTCTAATTTCCGGGTATCTTGTTTTGCCAGTCGTCGGTCTTTCAGTGTATTTCAGCAAAGTGACTGCCGCAAATACGTGCGAAGTTTGGTATACGGCTCTGACTCTCGTGACGCCATTCCTATCCTATTCGTCGCTTTGCACGTGCTATTTCCGCAGCGATGTCCTCCAGCCCTTGTTCGGAGAGCGCAGTACACCGATGCACCGGCGCACCGGAAGCGCACGCCACTGGGATGGCTCGCCTGGATTGCGGGCTCAGTATTTAACTCATGACAGCGTTCCTCCTGGCATGATCTGAGCTACTTGTATTAATTACAGCATATTTCTCGTTACATGGACGATTCATTTGGAAGGCTTTAACTAATCCCGGTTTAATATGCATTGCTAGTTAATTGTTTTATGTTCCGTTGGCAGTGGCTGCTTTCGAATATTTATGGACCTTTTCGCAAACCACTGGAATGATCCTGGACACTCAATTGCTGGTTTCCATATAATATATCCATATATCCACATCGCCAAGTCCGAGCATCGCTAAGAATGGCAAAATATTCCGCACCTGTATGCTCAAGACTAGTGACAGCGCGAAAGACCTCAGCCGTTACATACAGTCAGTCATCGACCCATCAGTCGATAAGTCACCAACAACAGCCCGGGTTTATCCGGCTTTCTAGCCATTGATCAGACACAGGGGTACCGTGGCTAGGGTTCCAATGTTCCGGCTAAAACTTCATGTCTGAGCCATATGTATATATATATATATATATATATATATATATATATATATATATATATATATAACGTTCTTCAGCATTGGCTTTACTGGTGTGCATCGCAATGCCCGAAAGCCTGGGAGAATGTTTTGTCCGAATTGCCCTTTTCTGATGACACATATCGCCGATAAATGACGGGTCCGCCAGTTGAACTTTGGAGGCCGTGACCCATGATTCACGTATGACCCATGGCCCAGACCATGATGAAATGATACATTTCGTAATGTTCAACAGTCAGTGTTGTATGTAAAATGTCCTTTCTACAAGCGCACCGCCCACATTAAGTTCTAAACTTAGCATCACCGGACTCCGTGCCGCTCAAGCAAGTATCTCAGTTCGCCTAGCCCACTCCAGCCTGCGATGAGGCGGTGCCATTCGCTTTGCCCGCCCATCCCCTCCGCCAGGCCATCTCATCGCCGGCTCTCCCCTCCTTTTCCTCTTCCAGGCAATCGCCTGCTTTTCCCCATGGCTACCCTAGAACTCTCAGCGGCTTTCCTCCGCATTACCACATTTTCGACCGCTCTCCCTCGTCTCTATCTCTCCCTAATCCACCTCTACCTCTATTCTCATACTCCCTCTCTGCACCACCTCTAGCGCTAATCCTACCTGACACTGACTCGAGCCGAGACGACGCGGGTGCGGCCCAGACCTTGACTCACGTTGGGCCACGCGCACCGAGTCGTACTCGGCCGGCCGGACGGACGAGGCACGCGGCAGGCTGCCGCCGCCGCCGCCAGCGCCGCCACCGCCGCCGCCGCCCTGGAGTCCAGCGTTGGAGAGCGTGCGGGAGCGGGGGATCGGCATCTTGGGGCTGGTGGAGTAGCAAGTAGCGTCGCGGGGGCTGCTGCTCTGCTCGTTCTCGTGCTGTATCCGCTGGAAGTTGGAGTTCTCGTGCAGCTGCTTGCCGTACTGCAGGTGTGGGGGGGGGGCAAGGGGTCAAGCTTTGATACGGCGTGTGTCATTAGCGGCATAAATATTACAACGCATACTCAACAATGCCAATAATCCCTGGCGCTTGCTTTTTACAAGAGCGCATTGATCGCTATGAACAGAATGTCCCCGGGGCCGATGCTATTACTGGTCAACGCTTTTATTGGCATTACCTTGGCGACACCAGTGCGGTGCGTCTGCCAACAGCGGCGCGTGGCCAGATCGTCGCAGGCGAGGCAGCGCAGCTGCTGACCCGTGCGCAGGATGACGGCCTCGTCGCAGGGCGCCTTGAAGTCGCGCCGGGCGTCCGAGCACCCGTACACGGCATAGTTCTGCAGGTGCGCGAACACGGCGAACTTCTCCGGGTCACGCACCGGAGAGTCCTGGCGGATCAGATCAGGTCAGGTCAGGTCCGGTCGGGTCAGGCCACGACACAGAACGGCGCCGCTCACCAGAGCGGCCCTGCCAGTCGGAGGCCGGACCCACCGCCAGCCGCCAGCAGTGTCACCCGGGATGGGCCCCACGCCACTGACGGACGACAGTCGGCAGCGGGCACCGACTGAGCGCCGGCGACGCTCAGTCAGGGTGCAGCCGTGCCTCCCGACGCAACGGCGCTTCGCCACAGATCCGATTTGGGAGATGTGACTCATCAAATTATTTACGAGAAAGGCATCGACTCGCAAATTGCATTACCTTCTTCTGTCATCACTCTGAAGAGCAGGCCTTACACTACCCGGGGCAAAATCTCGCGCAAAAACGATGTTGGCAAAAAACCGAATGCGCAGCATTTCTGAGCCGCCGGAACATAAGTGATCCTTCCAACTGCCCTATGGGGCGAGTTGGAACGTCGGGGCGCCCGTGTTAACGTCAAAGGCGGCGGGTGGCAACTTCGCCCATATGGCGGTGGTGACGTCACTGACATCCGCGCCACCCCCGTTACGCCGCACCTCACTCGTCGCGACACGTATAAACACCGGCAAGAGTCACGACTGCAGCGCCGCGGTGCGGCGAACATGCGCGACCCGTTCCGAGATGGCGCGCGCCTCACCGCCGGCGACTTTGCGCCGCACGCTGCGGTGGCGTCTTTGACTGCTCCCCGCACCTACCCCTCCCCAGCGGCAGCGACGGGGTTGTTGGCGTTACGGTATGGTTTGGCTTCGGTCTAGTGCGGATAGACGAAACAAACGATTACCGGGATGCCGGCCAGTTAGTCGAAGGGAAGGGATATTCGTCATGTTTTTTTATCGACATAAGATTCACTCCTTGTGGAGATTGCACACATAAGCCACCCGTTTGTGTTTGATAGCTCTCTCTCTCTCTCTCTCTCTCGTCGTGTCCAGCTCCAGGTCTAAAGTGATCACAGCCGTGCCTACGGCAGACTACAGTCAGCAGGGACGGCGCCGCGGCCTCGAACATGGATGACTTGGCTGACAAACGATGGCGTGGCTTGTCCAAGTTAGGCATGCCAGCCCTTTATTTGTTGGTGAGTTAGCGGGTTGGGACAACATCAGGAGACAGGTGCGCTTACGTCCATGGCCTCCATGGTGTAGTAGAGACAGTCGTGACGCAGCCAGAAGTAGGCGCGCCGCCAGACGCGCGACTCGGGCCCGGCCAACCAGAGCCAGCCGAACACCTGCGGCGTCGGAGCCGACGTCGTCAGCAGGTTCTGAAACAGAGCACCGTCCGGTCAGGTCAGGTCAGGTCAGGTCAGGTCAGGTTAGGTCACGCCGGTGCGACCGTCCAGTCCAGCGTGCTGTCACTGACGGCAAGAAGGCAAGAGGCGTCCACATCGACCGCATCGCGGGCAACCAAACAGCAAGCAATACAAGAATACCAGCTACCCCACACGTAGTGTATGTGCACAGCAGTAGGAGGCCACCAAACTATCGTACTTCACACAGCCTGCTTTAGCACATTGCGGTCGGTCGTATTCGCATAAGGGCCACACTGATAGACCAAAGGGAATGAACGCGTCAGGCGACAGGAGCATGACGAGCTCGCAAATCAGAACAGATAACCACTGAGGATGGTCTCCCCAGGCGGCCAAAACAGACCAAATAAAGCCAACACAACACAAGTCGTAATGCT